AATTAGTTGATAATACAGTAATTCAGATTTGTGAATACAACAAATTGTTGAAACACTAGATATCGATATTTATTATAATATTAATTAATTATTCATATTCGATTGACAAAGCGAAAGATTTAACCAAACAATATTATATTTTTACTAATGTTTACACTGTTTTCATAAATATGGAGCTAAATAGCATTAGATTTTCAGAGATCTGTATCAGAATGATTTTAAATATAATGTTTTAATTATCTTCGTCATTTTTATTTTTAAAAATGCAGCAAGTGCAGAGATTTATTATAGGTTTGATCATGGAAGACTTAAAATTTTGCTTTGTACGTACAGTACATAGAAATAGTCTTTAATAAATTTTTTATTCACAGATCCGAATCATTATAATATTGAATTCAAACAAGAATTAGATTTGAAAGAAATCTAAAAAACATTAAAATTAGAGATGGACAACACGTGAATTTGCATCAATGTACAATTGTTTCATGCAAAAAGTAAGGATCCAAACTTAATGAAGGCTGCACAACAAAAAGCTAGCAAATTATATACTAGCGTAAATATAGATCAAGAAATCATGGATTTTTTAAATAATCGTTCTCAGGTTAGTACGTATAGCATAATTTTAATACTTATTAAAATTTAGTAATGTTGACTGTTAACAGAACCAAAATAACGAACAAGATCAAAATAATCAAAATAACGAGCAAAATCATGAACAAAATTTCATAGTAAGTTTACGAATTCATATCTTGTTTTTGAAAATGAAAACAGGTTTGTATGATTTTTTTTTCTATTGTACTGTATTGGTTTTATTTGATATTTAATGATATATCCATATTCTATAATTATTTTAAAGTTATATCATCGTTATTTTAACGCTAACGAGAAGCCTTTAAACCTTTGGATATCATCTCTTGAATCAATATGCGAAAACAATCGCCTAAGGAGGAAACTAAGACTTACGAACAAAATTATTTAGGAAAAGAGGAAACCAAGATACTTTAAAGTCGAAAATAATAAACATTTAATCATTAAAGGAAAAACTTATGAATTTTCTAACATTTATGGAAGGGCAATAAAATCATTTTGGCCATCGGAATTTGAAATCAGTATTGATTTACCGTTAGCGTAGTATATTAAAATTTATTTACTGCATTTTTCTTCAGTTTGCATGTTGATTTACTTTATTCTTTAATTCGAAACAATATTTATCTCCTTGGTTTTTGTTATTTCTTTGATGGGAGGTAGAATTGGTATGACTTGTACCACCTACGCAAGTTAACAATTGTAGTTGTTTTGGAACCTTAAAAGAGTGACT